TGGGACTAGGTGGTCTGTAGGGTCCCTTCCAACCCAAACTGTTCTATAGTTCTGTGATTTACCCCATGAAAATTGTCAAATCCAGACTCCAGACTTGAAAATAACGTGAAGAGTACCTTCTATGTTTCTTATGTTACCAGTTCTTTTGAATATAATGACTTTCCTCATTTATTTCTCCCCTTAGTCCCATGGAAACCATCACCATCATCACGAAAAACCTCTGCTTGAACAAAACAAAGGCTCTATGTACAAACATCTCGTTTTTCAAAGTACGGAAGAGAGTGCTTACCTGGATTCTACGTGGAAGGGACTTACAGCACTTGGAGGCTTGTATTTCATGTTTCTAGTGGAGCATTTGATCACTTTAATAAAGCAGTTTAAAGACAAGAAGAAAAAGGTAGAGAAACTTATTTTGAAGCTATATTGTATTGCATGGTCATTTCTGAATACACATGAAAACATTTGTGAGTGTCATATATTTGTCTGGATTTAATAGTTATTGCTGACTTGATTAGTGTTATCATTTAGTTTGTGTTAGTGACACGTATGCTTTTAAACCACATGATAACTCTTTTACGTGGTCCTGTTATGGAGGAGCTCTGACAGCATGAACCTGACGTGCAGCACAGTGAATTGTTTCATAAGCAAACATCCAGTTGCACCCTTTGTTTTAGCAGTGATTTAAGAAGTTACTCTTCATTATTGACTGCCTTCTGACAGATCTCAAGGCGATTATATAACTGACTGACTGAGCTGTTTTTATTGTTACTGTTTTAATTCTTATACTGGATGAGATAAGATGGCCTCGTACAGTTACGGTACTCCTGTTGGGGGGGGCCCTTGTGCAAAATAGGTAGGGATGGCAGTGAGTGCTTACGTAAATAAGCATCCAGCTACACTGTGGAAAGGGACTTCATTAGATAATGTTCCACTTGGAAATGCAGTCTGCCAAGCCCCTTGTTTCTTCCCCTTCTCTCCCCCCAAAAAGAAGAGTAATACAGCTTTGAGGTTTTGTGTGGAAGGTAAGTAATAACTGAGTTTTGGCAGGTCATAAATGTTGGTAACTCGCCAATTATTGGCAACAGTTCTCTAAAGACTAGTGTAGCCAGGAATAACAATGATGTAAAAGCTGACTCAGTAAAAAAAAGATACAGTAAAAGCTGGATACCTTAAGCTTTGCGTGGAGGAAGTTAGTAAACTGCTAACTACGTAGTGTGAAAAAATAGCTAATTTCTAGGCTACCACAATGACCAATAAATCTCTGTTTAGATTTGCTGTTAAATTGGTCGTTAAGGCAGCAGTCTCGGAGCAGATGCCATGTAAGCCCTTTGACTTTGGTCACGAGAGGTTGTGTTGGCCTGGTTTATACTGGAGCTAAACTGACTGCGAGCGACGGGATGGCTCTGCCTACCTCTGGTTAAATTTACCTGCCAAGAGAGGACGTGAAGGGTTCCAAGCAAAGCGAGTGTTTTCTGTGCCCTTCTTTCAGCCAGTGGGAACAGTTTTCCTGTTGGACTCATGACACCCTTCTAGATTCTGAGTCACTGATCATAAATTGTTGTGGTACAGACATTCGTGAGCAGTGGTTAGAGGTTTTACTTGGTTTTCCTTCAGTACGCTAGGAAAAAAACATTATAGTGACACTTCAATAGAAAAGAATTAGTGGAATAACTCTTACTCAGCATTTGATGTTTCGCTTCGCAGATGAGCCCCTCTCCTTATTCCTCTTACAAAAATGTGGGTATTTATGTGTGTGGGTCTGTTTGTGTTTTTTTTTTTTTTTGGTTCATAACTACAGTATTTTCTTTTGGAATAAGAAAAAAAATGAAGATGATGGAGAAAGTAAGAAGTTTACAGCGAATGAAGAGAAGTTAGACGCAGATGATCGTAAGTCTGGGTGATGTTGCACGGTCGTTATTTTGTGGCAGCGCTGTTTGAAAAAACACCCGGTTGATGGCAGCTCGTAGATCTGCCGCTGGCTGTAGGCTGGGTCACCACCTACCTGATTTCTTTCCAAAACAAAACCTGTCCGTGCAGCGATCCGTAGAGGACCAGCGCCGTTCGCCGCTTTCCTTTCAAAAGGAGCGATGGGTTGGAAGCAGTGCATTCGCGGTTCTGAAAGCTTTTAATTCTGGATTTAACAGCAGAAGTTGAAGACGTTCTGTGACGCTCTTGTGGCTGTGCCTGTGGCAAATCCAGCTCCTACGTTTCTCTTTAGACAGTTGGATGTTACATGTGCGATCCATTAGTTAGATGGCTGTCTATCTTAAGTCTGGATTTTGTTAGTTTCAGGATTTATTTGCTTATTTACAAGGTTGATAATCTAAAATCCTACGGGTTACTTGAAGTATTTGGACTGCAAATGGTCACGTGTCTCCAAGATCGTGCTGTAAGCCAAAACACACCTCACTAGATACTTGTGAGCTCTCGTAGCTAAGAGAGGCGGTCAGTTTTTCAGACTAACTTTATAATTGATGAAAGAGTGGTTGGTAATGCAGGAAAAAGTGTATTTATTCATTTAATCGCAGGGGAAGAATTTAGCCAGTTTTAGGAGTTAAAATAACTAACCTTAGTGTGCCACTGATGTTTATATGAGGGCATTTTGTGGTATGTATTGTTGACTTCATTTTTGAGTGTCTATTTTTCAGGTGTTCAAACTTGAGCTCCTGTATTTATATGAAATACAGGAGTTTCAGAGTTATCTATACTATAATCCTCTTTTGCATTCTTATTCTTTAGCCCTAAGATTAATAAATGGCATATGCTTTCCAGACACTTTGTCTTTCCAAAGCAGTTGAGCCAACAGCCTTCATGCCGTGAAACTGGGACATAGAGCCTTGTGCTGTTGTGTTTAAATTGCACTGGGTCTTAGATTAAAAGCTTTTTTACTTTTTTAGGAGGCAATTTCAGCCATAATGTGGGGGCTGCTTCAGTAGTAGGGGACAGGAACGAAAAGTTTTTCTTATTTTGAACTATTGGGAATTATCTCAGAAATCTGATTAAAGACTAAAAAGTTGCGGAAACCGCTGGGGAAAAAACCTTCTGGTACAAGAAGCTGGGATATCAATTTCAACTTCTAGACCTACTAGTTTCTTCTAGACCTACTAGTTTCTTCTTTACTGCATCACTTAGTCAACTTGTTTATTGTGTCTTTGTTTCCTAAGTGATTTCAAAAATGTATAATGTTGTATATCCTCTGGGTTTTTGTAACAGGGCCTGAGGGCTACCTAGGGGCAGACTCTCAAGATCCATCGCCCTTCATTTCTCAGCAGCCAACTGTACAAGAAGAAGAAGAAGTGATGATAGCTCATGCTCATCCAGAGGAGGCTGACAATGAATATGTGTCCAGGGGCTGTAGAAACAAATGTCATTCTCACTTACACGATACGCTAGGACAGACAGATCATCTTAGCCATCACCACCATGACTACCATCATATCCTGCATCACCATCACCATCAGAACCATCATCCCCACAGCCACAGCCAGCGCTACTCGCGTGAAGAGCTGAAGGACGCGGGGATAGCGACTCTGGCGTGGATGGTGATCATGGGGGACGGCCTGCACAACTTCAGTGACGGCCTCGCCATCGGTAAGTGCTCGCTTGGACACTGCGGCTTGGTGGTGGGTGAGGACAGGGAAGTCTTCGTGTCACTTACCTTTTTATTAGGAACAGAACTAAGCCGTGGTGGATCTTTGAAGCCTGAAATTTTTTCTGATAGGAGCTCTGAATGATTAAGAAAAATCTCCCGTTTAACAACTTGGGTATCAGTGACAAATGAAACAGGAATTATGTGCGTACAGCTATGTTTCTTTAGGAAATCTATAAACTTGGCTTTATTTCATGCTTTTAGTAAAGTTAAAGCTATGGGTTTTCAAAAGTAAAGCTAGGCTTATAAAGCAATATTTAGGACTTAGAGCTGACTTTGTATTTCAATACCTGCAAGTGCTCATCATTTATTTTTATATATTTTTTTTTTTTTTAAGAAAAGTTTGTCTTCTTGGTCACATATAAAGCAACTGTGGTTCTTCCACTTGAGTCAGGCCACAGGAATCACTGGCTGCTTTATTTCTTTTTCTCTTCCACCTTCACTTGTTACACATTGCAGTTCTTCCTAGTGCTTGTAGTAACCTTCCAGAGGAGGTCTGTGCTGCTTTTTGTGCCCTAGGAATGTGTGAGTAGGGCATTAATTAACAGGGCATTAGTTAGCTATTACCTGCCAGAAATATGATTCGTGGAGAAGATACCAGTAAAGTCACTATATGTTACCTCTATGTGGATTTTTTGGATTAAGAGTGTCTGTATCAATTAGAGGAGTGTAGCATAAGTAGATTCCTTCAGGTGCTCCGTGCGCTGTCTCGCAACAGGCTCAGCCTCTCTCCTTGGAAAAGTATTTGAAGAAGTTTTATGTTCTCAAACACCAGCTCTACTCTACACACAATCTTCTTCTTAAAGTGAGCGTAACAGTCTGGTTTTTGTGTGTGTGTGTTGGGTTTTTTTAAATTTAAACCAGTATAAACAAGTTATTTTGCATGTAAATGGAACAATTCTCTTTTTGTTCCTTTTTTGTTCATGTCGCTGTTTTTTTTCCCTTGCATGTTGTAGGTGTTCAGTCTTTTTTTGACAACGCTTCAGTGAAAATATTTCTTTATCACAAAAATAACAGATTGAATATTATGTTTTGGACTTCTGGCTGGGAGGTCAGGTTTGGGAGCTCCCTTCTTTTTTTCTAGAAGAGCTAGACTACAAGTGTTTTAAATTTAAAAGGTTAAAGTAAGTTCTAGAAAGTGAAGTCAAATCAGTAAGTTCTTAGGCTAGTCTTTTGTAATCTTGACTTTGGTGTTTAAGACTAATCTTGACAGGTGTTGGATTCATTTCCAGCTTGTATAGCATACTGCGGTCAGCTCAGCAGTATCAGTATTTCTTGAAATTTTACTGTAGAAACAAGTTCATTCTTGTTTGAGAAGAAAACCCAATAACAACTATATTTTCACAGCAGTATTTGCAGTTGTTCATATTCAGTCAATTCAAAAGTATAACGTGAAAAGAGACCTTCTGATTTAATCTCATTTTCGATGAAAGTTGAAGCATGGAATGTAAATTTCCGAGCCCATCAGTCGTGAAAACGTGGTAGGAGGAGGAGGATTTGCATACAAATGACACGCAGAATCAATTACCCCTTAGCATTAGGGAGATTTGGGAAGGAGCTATGACTTTATAGTTATGAAGAGAAAAGTATGAGGAAGGTTAATAAAGGCTTATTGAACAAGAGAGAGCAATAGCTTTCAGAAGTCCTGCTGTGTAGCTTGTTCAGACTAATGGAAATGTGGGTTTCCTTCAGTTCTGGATGTGCTCAAAAGTATGATGGAAAACCGTCAGTTTGATGTTGTAAAAATGCCAATACTACTTGTATTTTACCTTTAAATTAAGATGTGAATGCTTCTGTGAAGATAGCTTTAGCCAGAGTAACCCTTCACTCCTTTCATGTGATTTGTTTTTCTTAACTTCCATCAGTTACTTCTTTTTTTCCTCAGATCTGTTGTGCTAATTATGTAGGAATAAGATTTAAAAGTGCTTGTGTTTCTATTAAAGTTCAGAACAGTTGGATCTGACTAATTTGTACAAAATGATCTTCCGTGATTTGAACTTTTCTGTGTAGCTTCAACTAAATAACTAAAACGCAAAACACTATTTTTACCCTAATCTTGCGTATATATTTTTTTTTCTTTAGCTCTTTTTTGAGAGAAGTGGTGTCTTAAAAATGTATTTTAAGATACCATGACACTATTAAATCAACTTCTCAAGAGGGGATGATACCAGGTATATTAATGTAGTATTCAATTTGTTAATGCTTCAAGATATCTTTTTAGCAGTGAGAAATAAAAATAGATATTCCTGTTATTTAAGTTTGTACTTCGATTGCTACGTATCTGTGCAGTGTGCAGCCACCCAGGTACTCTGCAAAGCAGTCAGGTTTTGTTTGGCTTGTCTTTGTGGTCCCAAAATTAGATTTACCATGTGTGATTCCGTTGGATTCTTGTATTTGTAGTTTTCCTCTAATAAGACTGGGAAAACATTGTTTAGAGACAGTAATATAGAGGAACTGGTAGGTTATTGAGGGTGCAGGCATGGGAGAAGGTAATTACCTTCTGCCTTCCTCCGCTTACCTAGTCTCCTTGGAAACTGAAGCCTGATTGAATGATGATGCATTCTCCTGAGTAGGAGATACCTGTAGCTATCCTGTCCGTGTCTCAAAGTCTGACTTCAAAACTATAAAATAGTCTTTGGAGGTGGGAGAAACAGACCAGCACCTAGAACAGATTGGTAGTGTTCATTAATAACCTCTTTTGCTAGTCAAGTAGCAGTAACCCCTGTCACTTACCACACTTAATGACTGCGTAGACTCTTGTGACTGAGCAGAGTGCAGTGGAAAGCCCTCCTGCTGGTGAGGGCTCAGGTCAAAGTAGCTTTGGTCTTGCATGCTGCGCATCTCTGACTTGGACTTCACGAATAGCCATAGAAAGGGGTGACCTCTGGAAGTCATCTCGTCGAACACTCTGCTCGAAACAGCTCTTGGGAGCACTAGGTTGGGTCAGTCACGGCTTGGCACAGCCCAAGTTTGAAAACCTCCACCGATGGAGAGATTCCGCCGCGTCTGTGGCTGACCTGGTGCTGCACTGCTGTCCCTTAATAAGGAAAGGTTTGCTTATGTCCAGCCCAAAGCTCCCAAATTGTGGTTTGCAGCCTCGCCCCTGTTGTGTCAGCTGTCGCTGCTTGGAAGAGTCAGGCTCCTTCTGACTGCAGTAAAGGTCCTTAGAAGCTGCTGTTAGACCACCCCTTAGTCCGGTGGAGAGGGAAGTTAGATATACTTAGCTTCTTCAAGCTTTTGCGCCCAATGCTGTAGACCTCTGCTCACTGTGTTGGCCTCTTGGACAGTATTCATGTCCATCTTGAACTGGGACACCCCAAAGTAGACAGAGAATTCCAGGAATGGCCTCACCAGCGCTTAGCAGAGGGGGCTGAGAACTTAGTCTGCTGGCCTTGCAGCCTGAGGCGACGCAGTTTGTGGCTCGCTACTTGCAATGAGAGCGCAGTGTCGGCTCGTATTCAACTTGTTATCCATCATAATTCCCACGTCCTTTTTGGGAAGGCTGCCCATTTCAGCCAGCCAGTTCCTACCTCCTCCTAAAGCATGAGGTTATTCTGCCCCACGTGCAGAAATTTGAACTTCATAAGACTTCTGTTGGCCTAGTCTTCAAGTTTACCGTGGTCTGTCTTGTCTAAAGCTCTAGTGCTTGGTGTGTTGGCTCAGCCCTTACTTTGTCCACCCTGCCCATCCGCTTAGTGTCATCTGCAAGTTTGGTGATGGTGCAGTCTGTTTCATCCAGATCATTGGTGAAGATAGTGAAGAAAATGCATTGCAGTATTTGTCCTGGTGAACTCTACTTGTTACTAGCCGGCCATCAAGTCCTGTTAGCCCAGCAGTACGGCCAGTGTGCAATCATTTGGCTGTCAAGTCCATGTTTCCTCTGCTCCCAGGTGAGACTGCTGTAGGACATGGCATCAGAAATCCTACTCAAGTCAAGTTTTGTTACGTTCACTGCTGTCGCCGTCTCTATAGTCGGTTATTTCCTCAAACTAGATCAAGCATTGGAGAGGGATTTGAAGGGGATATTCAACATGGTCTTTCCAGGAACTGAGGTGAAGCTGACTGTTCCCTGAGTCCTGTTCTTTGCCCTTATTAAAGATGGGAATAATGTTATGCTTTTCCCAGAGTTCCACTGGGGCCTTCTATAGCCGCGATTTTCCATAGATGATAGACTGCAGCTTTGCAGTTACATCAGTCGGCTCTGTCAGCACCCTTGGGTGGGACCCATCCTGGGATGCATCTCAGCACTTCCAGTTTTTTCTAAATATCTCTAAACTGTTGCTTCTCAGCTGTTCACTGTCCCTTTCTTCCTGGAATGGTGCTGGGATCTGGCCTTGTCTGTGAAGACTGACATAAAGGCAGGGCTTGGTTCCCTTCCCTATCCATCAACAGACCCAAATTTTTCCTGAACTTTGTTTCTCAGCTAACATTGCTGTAGAACTGTTGTTAGCCTTGGTGTCTTGTTAGTCTTAGCTCCAGCTGGGCTTTGGTCTACCTCCTTTTTGTTCCACTGCTTTTATCCTCCTTGTTGCCAATCTTTATTTCTGTTTCTTGTATGCTTCTTTTTTGAGTCTTAATCCGTTAAGACACGCTCTGCTTAGCTGGGTGTGTCTTCTGCTGGAAGTCCTACTGTTCCTGCACAAACAGGGTAGTTCATTTGTGCACTCTGTTAAGCGTGCTTTACGAATCAGCCACTTCTGGGTGCTTTTTCCCCTTTGATTCCCAGGGTATTCTACCCTTCAGTTCCTTAAATGAGTCAAAGTCTGCCTTATTAAAATCTAGAGTCCTAATTCTGCTTCTTCCTCTCCCAGCCTCCTTCTGTATCCTGAACTCTGTTACCTCATGCTCACTGGAGCTCAAAGTGGCATTTTTTTGCTGTATTTGTCATCAGTTCTTCCTCCTTTGTGAGCAGCGGGTCAAGTAGAACTCCAATCCCAGCTGGCTCTTCTATCTTGTGTATCGGGGAAACCATCGCCAACACAATTAAGGAACATCCTGGATTGTGTGCCCGGTGCTGTGGCCTTCACAGCTGAAAAGTCTCGTGTGAATGGTGATGACTTGTGTGGTTGCCTCTGAGTAGCCTTACCCACCGCCTTTTCTTGGTTAGGTGGTTTGTAACGATATTCCTGATGTTAACCCTGATCTTGACCAAGAGACTCAACAGGCACAAGGAACTGCTTTCATATATTGGTTTATACTGGAGCTCTGTGGGGTCAAGGAACTCCTTTATGTAGATGGGCAAAAAAAAAAAAGGGACTTTTGTTCTGCCTTTTCAAGGCAGCCTGTGTCTACCCGTGACAGGCCACACGAGCTTTGGTGGTGCCTCCACAGCATCATTAAGGCAGGCTCCAGGCAAGCGATGGAGTCGTCAGGTCTGCCTCTGTCCTCTGTCCCGCATGGGAGGCCATCTCCTCTTGCTAAAAATCTTCCCTTTCTTTTTTTATTGCTGGCCCTAATCTGATGTGCTGAACGAATATTCTGGGCTAGGCAGAACTCGTTTATCCTCTCACTGCTGCCAGGGTCATGACAGTGTTCTTTAGATTAGCAGGAGGGTTCTTCCTCCTGCCAGGCTTCCCTGTTTCCACATTTTACACACCTGGGAGTTCATGTTTTCCCATTCCAGTGCTGCTTTGGTCCTGCCTTCCTCTTTAGTCTGAAGGGGCTTGGGCTCTTCCCTCTAAAACCTCCTCTGAAGACCTTCTCAACCCCGTGTTCGTTATCCCTCCTCCAAAGACGCCCGCTCACTGCTTCTTGCATCTCCTTCGCTGGCTGCCACAGCGTGCATCCGAGGGGTGAAGCCGCCGCTGTGGTCACTGCGGGGAGGACCCTCGCTCATTTCTTGCGGAGGAAGACCTGGATAGCGGCGTCCGCCCTCAGGAGTGACATCTGGGGAGAGGCCGAGGGAGGGCACGGTCTCCTGTATTGGGGGTGCTCCTGGTGTACTGGGGGCGGCGAGCCCAGCAGGAGGGAGGGCATGGTCTCCTGGGGTCTCATCGCCACTGTAGCTCTTCCTCTGTGGGCGCTGCGCCTGGCTCCCGTGTGTGCCGGCTGCTGTGACGTGGCCTTGTGCCTCCTTGCTCGTTGGCAGCCCCCCGTTGGCTGGTGCGCTCCCGGTAGCAGCTGAAGACGAAGCTGGACGCGGTTCTGCCGCACCCCTCGGGGAGGCTCCCAGGGCAGCCGGGGACCTCCCGTGCTGGGAGCGAGCTGTGGGTCAGCTCTTCAGCCCTGCTGGGCGCCGCTGCCTCCTGAGCTGCTGCCAGGGGAGAAAAATGGCAAGCAACAGGAGGAGTGGAGAAAACGAGAGCGATGAGGACTGTTGGGCTAGTTCAAGGGGGTTTTGTGTTTTGGGGATTTTTTTTCTCCACTTCGATAGTTGACTTGCCTGCAAGCTGCCTGGAGTTCACAGTCTTTCACTGCCGACTTCATGTGGCTGTATACCCTCTCTTACTGCTGAACTGGCTTCTCTTTTTCCGGTGCCTGACTCTCAGAGGCAGTTGAGCTGCTGCCTTCCCGTTATATCCTTAAAAACAAAGTGTATTCTCTGATAGTATTTCCGTTTATTGCATTTTTTTGGGAAGGGTTGTGGTGTTGAAAGGTATTTGGCTTCATTCAGAAATAAGACAGTGAAATTTGGTTTGCTGTAACTAGTTGGAGGAATGTTGCTTGTGATTTTGAAACTTAGAAATCATAAACAACAACTGTTCAGTTAAAGGTTAAATGCTTCCACAAGTGTAAGAAAAATTTGAGTGACATTAATATGTCCTAATCTGATACAAGCATATGCAACGATGCTTCTGCACTTGATGTCTGAGTATGCAGTAACGTTTCTACTTTTTTTTTTCTCTTGTCTCTTCATAGGAGCAGCCTTTACTGAAGGGTTATCTAGTGGTTTGAGCACTTCTGTGGCTGTGTTTTGCCATGAATTACCTCATGAGCTAGGTAAGACCCCAATATTTCTGTATGCTGCAGGTGTAGGTACTTACAGGTGCACTTTGGAGAATAGCACGGTAAAATTTGATCAGAAGACTTCAACTGTGTCGGATTGTCTACTCAAGAATACTTTTATTGAAAGACTTTTTCTTAATTAATCTTTCTTTTAAAAATACAAATATTTCAGCTACTTGGTTTTAAACGCCATCTCTGGCAGTTACAACTTGCTCTGTACCGTTCAGTTGTTTTTATTCTCAGCAACATAAATGGTGCCTTGCAGGAGGAGCCATGTCAGAATTTGCTTTTCTCCCATCTCTGTTTAATTTTATTCTTGTGTTTGTGCTGTTAAAAGGAGGGTCACAATTAGTAGAACTCCTTTCCCCATAACATTTGCTGCTTTTTCATTAAGTCTTGCACAGAACTGCTGCAGCTCTGCATTAACCCTGGAAGTACTTAGAGATCTTTCCTAGAAATAGTTTGTCTTTCAAGCTCAAGCGATTGAAATTCATGACCGTAATTTCTCATGGGAATGCACATGTCTCCCGCTGTAAGTTTAGTATTTAGCCCTTTTGCAGGGCAGCTCGTGAGAACAGGACGTAGCTGCTTAGTTTAGCTTGGAAGGAAGCTGATCTTTCCAGTCGTTGAATCATTTTGAATGTGCCGCAGGTATTTCTTTCTCAGCTGACATGGACGCAGTCACACCTGGCGTGTAGAATGAAGAAAGAACAGTCGGCTTGCGCTCTTAATTCCCTAGATAGCAGAAAGTTCAGTTTCATTTGATGGAGCTTGTAAACCAGTATGTGTATATACATAGGACTGTTTATTAAACAGTTTGATGTATTTGTCTGTCTGAACAATGACGTTACTCAGAAATACATTACTGTGGAGGGCACACACCTGGTTTTATGGCATGGGAGGAACCGAGTCTTGTTCATCTTAATATAAGTTCTGTGGGAATTGTGGAACTTGTATTAATTACAGGTACTAAATGTGGTTAGTACAAATGTACAAAGTCAATTCATGATGTGAATCTGGTAACTTTAGATTCAAATGTTCTGTTGGTTTCGGAAGCGAGAAAAATCTTGTAAAATTTAAGTCGTGCCTCTTTAATCAGCACAGAGAACTTGGTAGAAATGCCTTCTGTAACAGAGGGCGTGAAGTGGCAGAGGAATGCTGAAGCAAATGGGACTAGTTGGAGTTAGCTGGGGATAAAATTGGATCATTCTGTTGCTAATGCCGAGCGATGTTTATAAGGTACCGGTTCATCCTTATTGCAGTGTCTTCTGGGGAAAACTTTTTTAACGAATTTCTCACCTTGGCTTTGAAGATTGCTTTTGTTTACATTAACTGGAGATAACGTATGTTTTTACACAGAATACATTTTATTTCCAAATAATAAGCTTATATTATTTTACTCTGGTCTAGATCTAATTTATCTAAACAACAACAACAAAAAAATCTATTCTGAATTATGGAAACCCTGTTTCTGGCTGGCAGTCTGTCATTCCTTCAGGTGAAAATAAGACATTGAGGATCATATTCAGAAATAAAGAAGTTAGTTCTAAATTTGTGAAACGGATAGACTTAAAGTGCAAAGAGTAGTTACAGGCTAATAAATGGAATCATCACCGTTGCCTTAGGCACTTAAGTGGGAATATTTTATGTTAGAAACTCCTTTAGACCGCCCCTGCGTATCGGGTGCTGCAGTACTTGACAGTGTGGGTTTAAATGCAAACGACGCTAAAAGCTGCTGCTTCCAAAAATCTGAAGATTTAAGGGTTTAAACTTAAAATGTTTGCTGCTGTGGTGTTCTTTCCGTGTGCTTTTTACTTGTCGGTCCCCCAGTGATTTCTGGGTTTATGAAGGGAAGAGACCCGAGGCAGACGACAGCAGGAAGACAGCTTGGTCATCTTGTAAGCGGCGAACTCGTGAGCGCTGCAGCAGTTACCTGAGGATGAAAACTCTGTCGTGTTTTTTTCCCCTTTGTAGGAGATTTCGCCGTGCTTCTGAAAGCCGGCATGACTGTCAAGCAGGCTGTGCTTTACAACGCTCTGTCAGCCATGCTGGCCTATCTGGGAATGGCCACTGGGATCCTGATCGGTCATTACGCAGACAACGTTTCAATGTGGATATTTGCACTTACTGCTGGCTTGTTCATGTATGTGGCTCTTGTGGACATGGTAAGTGACCTACTTGGATTTTATAGAACATAGTTTAACAATGAATGCTAATCGGGTTTTGATCTCGAAATAAATTCTTCCATCTTTTCTCCCTCAATTACCTTTTTTCTGTGCTCGAAGGTGCTGATGAGTGCACAGTGTGAGTGCTCAGTTGAATGTTCAGGTGGAAGATTGCTTTTATTTAGAACACCGTAGGAAGAGCGATCGTTTCTCCCTTAGTTGTTAAAGGGGCAGGTAACAGCAGAAGTCAAGTCTGCTTCTGACGGTGGCTAGTACAGCGCAGAGCCAGTAAGCCTGCAAGTTGCACACTGCCAGCGCCACCAAACGTGCTTTGGCTCTTGCATCGAGTCCTTCCTGCTGCTTGGGGTGAGGACAGAAGAGTGCTAAAACCTACCCCGTACCTCGGCAACATGTTTGTGCAGGAGTACAGAGTATTTGGTGGATGTTCGTGAAAGCTTAACTGTTGTCTGAAGGATAAAATTCTTGGTGTGGCTTAAGTCAGATGGTAAATAACCGTATCCTGAGTAAATGGCTGGCTTAAGACATCAGCATAATTGTCATGAAAACAGTAATTAGAACACTAGAGGTTCTCTCTGTCTCTAAATACAAAAGTAGGCTCTGATAATGTGTTCTTGTCGAGTGACCCCCAATTCAAGGAGTGGTGTGAATGCAGTCAACAGGAGAGACTGGCAGAGTAACACTCCACTGCCTTGTGGCTGAAGAACTGGCCTTGAAGTGACTGTTGATTTTTGAAGGCGTTTAACACTTTCTCGTTGGTTTAGGTGCCTGAAATGCTCCACAACGATGCCAGTGATCATGGATGCAGCCGCTGGGGATACTTCCTGTTGCAGAACGCTGGGATTCTGTTGGGGTTTGGGATAATGCTGCTTATCTCCGTATTTGAACATAAGATTGTGTTCAGCATAAACCTGTAATCCAGGTCGCCAGGAAGAGAGCTTGGTGTTAAATTATAAGTGGTAGGTTGTTTTTCTATTGAGCTCCTGATGGAGAGGTACGTTTGCTGTAGAGTAGATATTTTTGTTGGCGTGCTTTGTTGTTGTGTCCCTCCCTCCCTTCCCCCCCCGATAGAAACGCACACTGTAAGGTTGGGTTTTTTTCCCCTTAGGATTTAGCGTCGCCTATGGTACTGTGGAAAGTTGTGCTTGGTAAAACGTGGTGAAAGTGCCAAATCTCTTGGGGTGTTGTCTGAGGGGTAGCGGGGGTGGTTTGGGTTTTTTAGTGAACTTACTGTATGTAATTATGTGTGACATTTTTTTTTTACTTCAATGGTTTTGTTGGTTTAAACAAATAAAATGACAGTGGTTTTTTAGCACAATCGAAATCGGTGGTTACAAAGCACGGCGAGCAGTGCAAAACAAGAAGACGACACGTAATGGGGGAGCGTGTGTTTGCGTTGGTGGAAACTCCTCTCTTCCACCTAGTTTACACGGACTGGCAGGTGAGTCCACTCCGTCCTCTTGTGCGGTGGTTCTTCTCTCAGTACCTTGTGTCTTACAAATTCACGTGAAATCCCCTTGTAAGTGTTTGCACCGAATGTTTTACTTGTTTCATCCCTTCTGGTGTGAGTTGCTCTTCACCAGTTTCTCAAATCAGCAACAAAAGTACAGCTATTAGGTTGTAAAGCATAGTTCCGGCCCTGATATACATGAATTCCATCAAAAAGGCTTTTGAAGTAGCGCTCTATCCCACTTAATGCTGCCTGAAATGGTGAAGGTGTATTCAAATCTGTTTGATATGCAGGCTGAGACAGTCATTTACTACCACAGCTTCCTTCAGTAAAGGGTTGATTTACTTTGGGAAATGAGCTGAGTGGGAGAGCTGACTACTTCTACCTCGGCGTGATTGCACACAAACCTGTGCTTGCAACAACTAAAGCTGAGAAATCCAAAATAGCAAAATCTCTTTGATGGCATATATAGGGAAGCAGCATGATAAGGATAATTGTAAGTGAACGTGTCATTATGTAGTTGGAGCTTGCAGTCTTGGTATTTTTAACCACGCTGAAAGTAACTGAAGGAAGGAGAAGGATGAAAAGGACAATGGCAAAGTCAATAAATTCTGCATTTGCAGGGAAGGTGAACATTAGACCAGTTTTATAGAATTAATAAGTAACAGAATTGTGCATCTTAACTAGCTAGCTTTAAAAAAAATCCCAGAAATACAACAATTAGAACTTATTCCTGATTTGGCTTTACCACTGCCTCAAATCATCAGCTGAATAAAAAGCTTGAACAGAGAGGAAGTGATCGATAGTACCGCGTCTGACAGGTTAAAACAGTCTGGCATATGTTGGTCTGTCGTACAGTGACAGCCAAAACTCCTCTGTCACCTCAAAAAATAGATGTTTGCAACGAATTGAGAGGGCTGAGAAATGGGGATCGCAGGAGTTTTCTGCAGCCAGAGGAATATTAGCTTCTCCTCCGCCCTCAGTTTTCCCTCAGGTTAAGAAGGTTGAGGAATGAAAATGAGGAATGAAACCCTGTTCCGTGCCCCCTCTGAAGTCGGGGGGCAGAGGAAGGCAGGCTTCCCTCAGCTCTGCTGAAGCTGGGGGGGGGGAGGTCATACCAGCTGCCACAGATGGGCACATGTATGAACCCCGTGTATCTCTGCTTGGTGAGCGGTTGTTTGCAGAAAAGAACAGCCTTCCCTTCTGGAAGCACTCATCTTCCTCCCCCCTCAACTTACCTTTCCATCACTAGCAGCCACTCTGGGGCTGGGCATTGGTCTCTAACCAGAACACTGACAAAACAGAGGTGCCTTCCCCCCCCCCGTCATCAAGCACTTCACATTTCGTGTGTCTTTCATTCTGTGCTGTTGCATTTTGGTGAAGCCTCTGGACTTTTGTTAGCAGCGCACCTCCGAGCAGAGGAGCTGTGCCGCAGTACAACAGCACTCCGCTGCGTTCTTATCGCCTCTCCTCATCGCCCACACTGTGCTCTCTTTACTCTTTTCTTACAGCAGTCACCTTCTGCTGTTCCCAAGCTGGAATTAGTAGTTACCTGGAAGCATCATGAAAAATGGATATCTCTCTACCCGTTGCTTCTCTGTCTTCCGTGCTCTTAAACTGCAGCTTATTTGAGCTCTCTGAAGAGAAAGTAACTTCTGTTTTTTCAATCTAAACTCTTATGATACTCCTGCCCTGTGCTGTGATCATTTCTTGACTTTGTTGTAGCTAAACTCTGCCTAAAACCCCCCCACACTGGTCTTCATCTTTCCTTTGCTACCTCTAGTGGTTGAATACCATAACCTTTGCCTCGTGGAAAGCCGTTTTGTTCTGGCCTGTGCACATCACCGCTTTCTTCCTTAGAAAGACAAGTAACTTCAGACCAACCCTGCCGACCACCACCCTGACACACGTACACACACTAAACCTGTCAAAAATGGAAATTTTCATGCCTTGCCTACTGCATTTTCCTGTACTGACCTCCTGTCTTGGCAGTCCCACCTTGTTGCAGATCTCAAAATGTAACTGCTTTTCTTCTGGGGGGGTCTCTTCCTGATGTCTGTTTGTTGCAGTTGAACGTGTCCCCCTTTGGAGTGGTCTGGTTTGACCCTGACCTGTCTAAACGAGACTTGCCTTCGTCAGGGGTAGCAGTGCTGGTCACCATCGGAGCTGATGTGCCTCAGTTCATGCTCCTGTACTGCTCCTCACGAGCAAGAGGCGTTCCTGGGGAAAAAAAAAACCCACCCAAAACAGTGAGACTTCTCCCCTCCTGCCCTCCAAACCTCTCGTTGCAGCTCTCTTCTGCTGAAACGCAGTGTTTGGGAGGCGACCTGCCTGCGTCCCGGTGGGTTTTGTAGGGCTTGGGCGCTGTGTTTACCAGTGGTCTGGTAAACCACCATGAATTCAGTGTGCTGTAGCCCAGGGGTCTCTCGCCTTCTGTCGCACCCCCTCAGCCATTACAGACATGGGGCGTGCTCCATCTCTGTGGTCGTGACGGGTTTCGGATGTGGATGAGGGGTTTCTGTTGGCCTACAACCTTAATAGCTGCTAGTCCAGCTGGCCTTCTCTTGTCCATGTGCTGATCTAGGAAGCAGGGATGTAGCCTGCTGTTGCCCAAGAGATTTTTAAGATCGATGACTAAATGATGGTGATTAATCTACAAATTTTAGTCAGTGTTGCCAGTGGGTTCTGGGCTGGCTTTCGATGTAATCAACGGACATTACAATACTGCATATCAAAACACATTGCTACAACATCAAAAATAATTTGCCTTTAGCACACGAGGGCGGAAGTGCCTCGATAAGCTGGACACAGGCACATCCCACCCCTGAGTGCTCTTTAATCTTTGAGGGAGAGATGTCCGTGACGGACAGCTGTCCAAACTAGTCACTGAGAAGACTATAGACTGAAACCCACTGTAGGGTTGTACATGATGACAAAAGCTTGGGTTTTGTCAGCCTTATAAAGTGGAATCTGCATCTGTTGCAGGGTACTTGCGCTGAAAATACTTGTGGTTTGGCGAACGGCGGGGGCAGAGCCTCTAAGCAGCCCTTTATTTTTATGCACGTATTTTTCTGCAGCAGTTTGTAATGTGCCTGGCCATTCTGGCTGATAAATGGAAATGTCTCCGCTTTGTGTAACCCTCTGTACTTTAACTATGGTGCACACCTTAATTTTATATGCTGTTACAGCTGCCTTACTTAGCGCCCGCCCCAGATGCAGGTAAACAGAACAGGCAAACAATGCTGGAGTCAAAGTTACGGTTTTTGGTAACATGTTCTTCTAGTGGTTTTGGCCTGTATTTGTGCAGAAAAAGGTGGTGTGTCATTACTGTGTGCAGCGGGAGTCAAAACAGAGGGGTGGAGGATCTCCCCTGTCCATCCCGTGGGGTTCCAGTGCTGGTACGGTGTCTCTGCGCCTTTGTGATGCCAGACGGGTGGTGGGACCAGGGCTCAGTTGTGTTTACCTAAAATAAATGCAAGGCTAAGCTGGAATTCACCGTGAAAAAAAAACCGCGAGCAGCGTCGTCAGAATTTCTGTGGAGAAACTGGGTCATTCTGTTTGCCACAAGTGCGAAATTATGTTTTCACGAAATGTGTTTTTATTCAAAATACTTCTTTTTTTTTTGGTGCGTGTACAATCACTATGACGGTATTGCTGCGTGCGAGAGAAAATAAAACCGCTGAACCCCATGCTGGTTGCTGAGCTTTCTTCCTCCCTGGCCGTAGCGATGGCCCGCCCCGTCTTTCATTTACCTTCTCAGAGGGAAAAAAAA